TTGGTTGAAATAATGAATTGTTTTTCAAACTGTCAAATAATAACATGCCATGTGGCACGTTGTCAACAATGATGTCAAAATTATTGTACATCAAGCACTACTCATGAGAACAATGGGCAAAGTACAGTGCCCAAAAACAATTAAGAGCTCGTACCGATTAAAATTCAATTAAAATTGAAAATGTAGCCGTTATTGGACTCCACTCGTCTAATAAAAGTCAACAATAACGACTAATTTTTCAATTTTAATCCGATTTTAATCTATCTGTAACTCCCAAAATAATATCTGTCGCTCTCTATCTGTCGATTCATTAGCAATGGCGTACATCTCGTCGTCGGCCTACGACCTTGAGTACAGATGTGACGGCGACGACGCATGGTACACCGTCAAGGTGATGACGTCGGAAGGCGGCGAGAAGCTGACTGTAAAGTATTTGAACTTTCTCGATTCTTCCGATATCACTTTCCGAGCTGATCAGTTCGAGACGGCGGAAGAAATCGACGAGCTGATTAACCGATTCCGGCGAGTTTCCCGGCAAATTCAGGACGGAGAGTGCGATAAAATCACCGAGGGTATGATCGTCTCCGCGTCCTACTCCTTTAGACCAGATGATCGGCGCTTCTATGATGCCGTAGTCGAAGCGGCGAGTAATGATTGCCACTCTTTTCTGCTTTCTGGTAGACACTCCTAAATTTATGTTATAGGTTATTTATTATTTATATCTTTTGATGATTTCTTCAAATAATAATTTTTAAAATAGTGGAAAATTTTCCAGGTAATTACTTACAATATTTTTCAAGATATCCCCCAATCTAATAGGAAAATTTTGAAAATGAATAAATAGTTTAGAGATAATGATATGCTAGTGACTTAATAAGAGAAATTAAGATAAACCAGTATTAACTCAACGACCATATTTAGAACCTTTTTTCCCGGTAAGGCCTTACGTTCCTTTCCTCAGTTCTGTACTCTGTCTTTCGGTATTAAACTGTTAATAAACAGGTATGAATTAGTGTCAGGCCTGCCACCTAGGTACTGGTTTTTTTACTTTTATAAAACCAAGCTTATAGTTTCATTCAGATAACTTAAAATTTCATTAACGTGGTGATCTTTAGATTTTCTTGGTTTTCAAAAATGAATTTATTCTTTGGAACTTCTCTGCATATTCAATGTCTGTCCGTCCTGTATTTAATAGGTGCACCATGAGAAACACTCATTTGCAAGTGGTGAAGAGGAGTGTCTTTGCACTTTCATCTTGTTCTGGCAACACGGTCCAAATGTGGGTAATCTAACGTCTTCTGGTATTGAGAGCATATGCCTAATTCAACAAGCTGCTCAAATTGATCCCAAAATGTTTCATTTCTCAATGGTCGCGAAGAAAGGAATTGCATCTGAGCTTTTGAAGTCTACTAATGCATTGAAGCATGATGTTCGAGTATCTAAAGGACCATTATGCAATGAAGAAAATAATTGGTCATCTGTCAAAAAGGAACTCGGGTTTCAGGCAAGAAATATACATATATAATATTCTGGAATTTGCTCAATAAAAAAATATTCTGAAATTTGACGTCACTCCTTGTTTCCAGGTTATGGAGAATAGCAGCAAGTTTCATGGTGAGATACAGAACTGATTTTTATAATCTCAACTGTCCATGGTACTTTTACTTCAGTTTGCTAAAATTATAGTGCTGTGAATGGCAGGGAGGATCAGAAAATCTAATTCAGAATTTTCTCATTCAGAAACTGGCTTTCGCTATTTTGTACTAATTGAAAACTTGGAAAAAGATTTGTCACCGTCGGCAATCGGGGAATTCATATATAAGCAAACATCAATTTCATCACAAATCTATGTTTTCCCAAGCCAACCATCAGAGCCATATGCAAGGGGAGCAATTGTGTTGGAATGCAAAGAGGACTTTGAGAAGATATATGACTTACTTAATAGTTCCAGTCAATTGGTAGTGTCTGCAAAGGGAAGGTATATAGTTGAATCATGTATTTATAGCTGAGACATTTGTCAGAATTTATTTGTGCTGGTTTTCATTTACCTTTTAATATAGAATTTCTTTACGGACGTTTTCTTATGCACTTAAATTATCTTGTTTTAGAATGTGTTAGTGGCATCTTTCGCTATCTATGTGATCGAGTTCAAATAACGATTCTATGAAGCCTAATTAAGAATTTATAGGACTAGATTTCATAATACCTTTAAAGCTTTAAGTTGGTTGAATAAATACATTAACCTTACTACTTTAGATGTAGGGTCATTCAAACATCAGTGCTAATCTTATTAATAGAATGACATTGAAGGCCATTTGTTTAGTATGGAAGCTAAGAATACTTATATTGGTGATGGACAAACTAATTTGCATAATTTTACCAACTTTCGCAGTAACTACAGACTGGGAGCAGTCAATTATTGCAACCCTTCAATATCACGAGAATATAGAAATTCTCTTTAAGAGAATGTGTATAAATAGAAAACAATGGGTGCTATGGAAGAGAGAGCTCACAAATGTTCATAACTATTTGGAGTTTTGTGAAAAATGACCGCCTTTGCTCAAATAGTGAATCGATGTGGTTACTTATAAACATGTTACTACTTTAATGATGAAATTTAATATAATAT